TGCCATACGAAACACAGCAGCGTTGAGCTGCTATTTTACGATGGTATTCTGTGAAAGCGTGGTCCTTCCCCGGTAGAGCCGACTCATTTGTACTACAACTATATATATATATATATATATATATATATATATATATATATATATATATATATATATATATATATATATATATATATATATATATATATATATATATATATATATATATATATATATATATATAAGCCGTGTAGTGGCGGTGAAAGTAAGTGTGAGTAATATCCATTAACCCATCCATATTTACCCGTGGGTGTCATATGAGGTGACAGCGTAAAATAAACAAGTGATGGACATAATTAAATGTTTTATTTTTAGGGTTCCGTAGTCAACTAGGAACCCTTATAGTTTCGCCATGTCTGTCTGTCCGTCTGTCCGTCCTCGCTTAATCTCTGTGACCGTTAGCACTAGAAAGCTGAAATTTAGTACCAATATGTATATCAATCACGCCGACAAAGTGGTAAAATAAAAATTGGAAAAAATGTTTTATTAAGGCAGCCCCCCTATATGTAAAGTGGGAAGTGATTTTTTTTAATTTCAACCCTAACGTGTGATATATTGTTGGAAAGGTATTTAAAAATGAATAGGGGTTTACTAAAATCATTTTTTGATAATGTCAATAATTTCGGAAATAACCGCTCCAAAAGTAAAATACAATGTGTCCCCCCCTCTAACTTTTGAATTATAAGTTTAGAAAATATGAAAAAAATCTGAAAAGTAGAACTTTATAAGGACTTTCTAGGAAAATCATTTTATACTTGGATGGAAACAGTACACTACCGGGAGCAGTAGCACGAGCGCGGAGCGCTGCTGGAACGCGAACATAATGGATACCCACCTTTAAACTCATAAGTGGGAACACTTATTGTGACGGATGGGAAACTACGGAACCCTACATTGAGCGTGGCCCGACACGCTATTGGCCGGTTTTTTTTTTGTATTTTATACTGCTATTTTGATGCATTTATCACATACTATCGATATTCAACCTTAAATAATAAAAAAAATCGGTTTGTATAAATAACGGCTATCTCATAAATAAAATTTAAAAAAACGCTCTTTTGTTTTGACGTACACTCCCTTAGACTATTGAAAAACGAAAATTTGAAAGAATACAAGGTTAAGAGGATAGAGTAAATCAGCTCAAATTCTTATTTCGCCCCCACTTCCCGCGCGTCGTATGCTATGTACCGATATGTTTGTAATCACTAATACTGTAAGTAGAAAGGTCGTTAGACACTTATTTCATTAGGTTTATCATATTTATGCCTGTTTCTTAACGCCAAGCCAGCCGCTTCTTATTTTTATCACGGTTATTTCCCATTTTTTTCGTCGTACTGTTGCGTAATGTATATTCTGATCGTAAGCGACACAACTTCTCCCTTCAAAAGCCTAAGCGATACTAACGGGGCGACTGGAATCAAGCTCAAGACGCCGATAGTTTAGGTAATTTCTTTTTACAGTGAAAATAATGGTATTTTAAAAAAAAGTAAATAACATAAGCACTGCTTTATAGTTAGTTCAGTTAGTATGCAAAGTTTCATGGACTTATTTAAAGTATTTTATGAATAACAGCGGTTTATTGTTTATTTTGGAGGTAACTTTGGATTTTTATTTCTATCGAGAAAATTTTACGAAATCGTGTTTTCGTCTAACATAATCATTAACATTAATCCTCAACTTTACCATATATTTATTTCAAAATTAATGCTGCAATATTTTCAGCATAACGAAGGATCTTGCTAAGCCATTTGACATTATATTTCCCCTTAAGTAGTAATAATTTGTTAGGAATAATTTGAAATGTTTGATAATAATCTCTACTCTGAATCTTGAAACTCTGAAATTTGAATACAAACTATATGTTATTATATTATGAGTTTGACATTGGTAGCATGAACGTTAATAATGAATGTTTTGTTTTATTTTATTTTACTGAATGTGTTTGTAAGTACGTATTATATATAAATTCACCCATTTTCCGTAAATATTTCAACTATGCCAAAATAAACAAACCTCCATGCACTCAATAAGATTTAAAAGTTACATTGTTTTCTGTTCACGTATTAGTATACTCGTATACCTAGATTTAGGTATCTCTTTATTATAAATTGAATATTCATCATCATCATCATTACAGCTCTTCACAAGTCCGCTGCTGAACATTGGCCAAGGAATGCCACAAAGCACGTTTCTGACACCTACAATGATTATAACTTTTAACATTTTAGCATTTATTACCAGGCGTCGTAAAATAAAAGAGAATTTTACGTCACACTAAAAAGGCAATATTTCGTCATTCACTTTTTACAAAATTTAGACACATTTTATCAACGCGTGAATATTAACGAGTAGATATAACGATAAAGTACGTACGTTACGTAAAGTACGATAAAGTAGTTTTAATCATAGATATAACGACTTCGTCTTATCGTCAATACTTCGGCATCATTTATAATCCGTGTAGTGGATATAAGAGAATATCCGTTACTACATACTCGTATGTTCCCATGGGTGTCTTAAGAGGCGAAGGATTGAAACTGAAGCAAGAAGGGAAACTGCAGCAGCATCTTCTCGATAACAAATCAAAAGAATGAAAGCAGCCGTTACTAACTGGTTGCCAACTATGGCAAAATCTCCTTTACGAGGCAATCTTTGTGGATATTCTATGATCAGCAGGGATTTTATAGGTTGTGATGAATGAATGAACGTTATGCAGTTGACCCATACACATCCTTCCAGATTTTGATAATGGTCTCCTTTTTTCAGTCACTTAATACGAACTGTGTTCTAAACTAATAGTATCTAACTAGGAATTTTTGGAGAGACATACGTTTAGCAGTGTACTTCTGACAGAGAGTAATGATGAAAGAATGAGTACCACAAACATTAGTAAAAGGCTCTAAAGAATATTTCATAGCCACACATGTACCATTCAAAATTTTATAATAAAAAACGGTTTTTTAATATTTTTAATATGAATGATAATCAAGCTAATATCCATCTCATGTTAAGTAGCTACTGCATCCCTAAAGAGCTGCAACCAACTTGACACAATGAGGACCATACATGCGGTGTCACTCCTGATGTTTAAGATAAAACATTGATTACATAATTACGCTTTGTAAACACGAATCCAGAAGTAAACAATTAGACGGCAGAAATAAGTAAAGGTGTGCTAAAGACTTAGACATTTTTCAAATGAACAATAAAAAATCCTACACATAAAATAACTGTCTTTAAATCCTGTTCGAAAGTAATAATCTCATCTCTTTTTTTAAATTCTATGAGGGTAATAGAGCTAAGAAAAATAACAATATATCAGAAAAGTTGGCGGACTTATATTGAATTATTTGAAGGTTAAAAGCTTCGCTTTCTTCCCTTCAAAATGTTGACTTCACCACCGAGTACGTATAAAACCATGTCTAAAAACTATATTCAATAATCTAAGCGCAATTAAATGAGTATCAAATAATTGGAAATATCACTCTCATGTTAAACACAAAATTCATCAAAATCGGTTGGATGGTATCAGTCTATAGCGGACATAGGTAGAAACATGTTTGTGTTATATAGGTAGATAGATGTCCCAAACACTCAACATAATTTAAAATGGGAACGACAGTTGTTTAGCATTTACGCTATTAGGCGCACACATCAGGCGTCAGACACATTCTGAGCGATCCGAAGCTCCAAGAACGATTGTTCTGTACTTTTTTCCTGACATGGGGAGCGGAGGTGAAGAGAAACACATGTTTATTTGGATCAAATGCAGAAAAAAAAAGTTTGTTTAAGATAAAAGATTAATGTGCATATAAAAAATTAGTAGCGCTTTAACATGTGGTCGTTGGCAACATACGAGTACATTCGAGTTTATTAAAAACAGTTAATTTGCGTGTTTGTTATAACATTGACGGTGTTGACTAGCACATTGATCATGTTACTTATTTATATACTAGAAGAAAAAAGTACTGTAATAGGTAAATAGAAGTGAGTGAATATTGGCACATTATTTTTTATAGCTCCCACATAACCATGGGACTTACAAATCCCAGACCACCATGGGTTTTTTTTTAATACGAACAGTTCATGTTATGTTCAGAATAGAAAAAGGAGATAAAATAAAGCCCCTTAGAATTATTAAAAGTTTATTACTGTAGGTACAATTTGGTTCCGTGTTGATTAAAATATAAAATTTTTTGTTTTTGTCGTAACGACATTCGTTAGTCAGTACTTATATAATTGAATTGCACCGGAAGTATAGACCACACAATTATTATAAGCCAGTTATCTTTGGATTTTACAATTATAGATTACGTACTACTTATAACAAAAATAATATTGCATACATACATACATGCATAAACACCCATGCCTGTCACCCAGAGGGGTAAGCAGAGACTACAGACTTCCATTTGACACCTGACACACTTCTCTCGCCTCCTTCACATTCATATATTTATGCTTACATGCTCGTCGGTTAAGGGTAGGGGGGAGGCGTACAAAATGACATACTAGTTATAAAATCAGTCATCAAATCTATATTTATTAATAATAATGAACACTTTATGTAACTATGTATTCTTTGGTTCATTACCTATTAAAAGATCAGAGATCAATCAACTTAGTGCAAAAACAATAGAATTATTAAATATTTTTTTCAAACTTGAACAAAAAACCGTTATGTCCACCCTAGGCGGGTAAAATGACACACGTGGTGTAGAAAAATGGAATATCAAATTTTTTATGAAAATCAGTCGATTACATGCAGAGTTCACACGTAAAACGTTTTGTATTTTCGGAACATCTGCACATGATGCATGAGCCCATCTTTTACAGCTCAAGCACTTTAGCCAGACCTCTTTTGGCATGGACCTGGAGTAGAGGTCATTGCAATAAATGCAATGACAATCTTCATCATCATCTCCGGCTTCAGTGTGAGCTTGTAAGGAAGAGAAATCATTTTAACTGTCGGAACTAAAATCCAGAGCTTTTGTAACCTTTCTCGCGTTTTTCTTTGGAACAGGTGGAGGAGCTGATTTTGCTTTTGCCTCTTCTATATTTGGCGTTGAAGTTAACACCAATAATGTTGGTTTCTTGCGTGGTTTTCTTTTACCTTGTCCAGCCACATAAATTCCTTTCGGCACTGGAGATATTTCTAGGAGTATCATTTTAGATGATGTGGGTGTCGTAGGTATTGCAGTAGCTGTGTCTTTAGATTGGACTACTGAGAGTGGACGTGGGTTGTCTGCGGCTGATGTGCTTGCAATTATTAGTGATGTCGAACTCCCAGCTTCTATCTGAGATGGACCCACTGAGGGTATGCATAGGTTTTCTGCTGCCGTTGAATCTTATTCGGGGTCTACCCGATCTTGTTGCATGGGAATGTTTGTCGTCTCAGCAGGCTCAAACAAATAATCTGGAAATATGTATGGATCAACAGGCCAGAGACCAGTTTTTTGAAATCCATTGACGGCAGTTTGAACCGTTGCTGCTTTGCCATAAGCTTTGTTGAGTATTGCGCCTATTTGAAAGTGAGTAACAACTCTACCCGGATGGCTCTTTAACCAAGTGCTCACTTCTTGATTAAAATAAGTCTTCAATGGACCATAGAAAGATACATCTAATGGTTGCATGCGGTGCGTGCAGTGAGGTGGCAAGCACACCATAATGATTCCATGCTCTTTTGCGAATGTTAAGCTTTCAATACCTTTATGACTGATATGTCCATCAGCTATTAAAAGCACTTTGTCATCAAGACTCGCTTTTACATGCAACTGAAAGTGCACCACCAGTTTTTCTAGAATAGTTGCGTGGCATGATGTACAATTATCTGGAAAAAAGAAAAAAAAGGTGGGTCATATGACATAGTATGCTATTTTACCCGAACAAGGTGTATGCCATTTTGTCCACTTCATAACCTTCAACATTAGAAAACAATAACTAAAAATTTTACTAGAATTTTGAGTTTCCAAAATATTCTCGAAGTTATTTAGTAAAATTACAATAAATAAATTCTAAATAAAAACAAATTAAAGTAAAACTACTTACTTGTACGAGAAACAAAATCCACCTGCTTATAACTCGTGACTGCAAAAATTAAACACCACACAGCCCAACGAACGCGACTGGTGCTGCCACAGGTTGTGTGTTAGTAACACACCTGTTACTAAGCGACCCTTTACAAGCCATTGTGAGAATTAATAAGTCTGTGGTTTCGGATAAAAGTAGGTATGTCATTTGACCCACCTATGTCATTTTGTACGCCTCTCCCCCTACTCCTAATTTGCCCCATTTTCAATATATCGCCAATTTGGTCGATAAACTCTCGTCTAGGACGTCCCTTTCCGACTTTTAAATCACTTCTGCAACATAAATTTGCTTTTTTTAAGGGTAGGGTGACAAAAGAGCACACAGTTCACCTGATGGTAAGTGGTTGCTACAAATCAAAATGCAGATGCGTTGTCACCCGTGAGGACTAAGATGGAATGCCTCTTTTCCAGTAAAAAGGGTCTCCGGTTCTCTACACTCACCATACGAAACACAGCAGCAATAAGCTACTGCTGGTGGTCTGTGAGAGCGTTGTCCTTCCCCGGTCGAGCCGACCCATTCGTACTACAAATATACTACTAATGTAACTGCAGCATGGCTTAATAACTTTGTAACTCTTACCTCAATCTTTCTTTCTACATGATCAAACCAATGTAAAGCATTCCTTTTTAAATCCTGGTCACAGCATCATGTTGCAAACCATACTCTTCATTTATCACACAATTTCTCACCCTATCACTTAGATTCCCTAACATACTTATTTCCTAACATACTTAGCAAACGCATTTTTTCTGCATTTTTTCTACTCTCGTGCTTCTTCTGCCACACACAACTCACACTACCATACGTTTTATTAAATATATACGTTAAAGTAGGAACCAACACAGCATTGTGAATTGCCATACGTGCCTTTTTTGACACATTCTGACTTCCATAATAGGGTATAGAGTCCCATTTCCTTTATTTCCTGCGTTTACTCGTCGTTCTATATCCTTTTCATATCTCCTTATCACTGCTGAATACACATCCCAAATATATAAACTCTCTTCTATTCTTATTTCACATATCGTGTTACTTTCTTCTCTTTCAAAAACCATAACTTTCGTCTTACTTGCGTTCACTTTCATACCCCTTTCTTTTAAAGACCTGTTAACTAATGTAACAATCATTTGCAATTCGGCCGCCGACGACGCAAAATTAAGTTAAACATCGGCGTACAAAAAGGTATTTGTCGGTTAACTCACCCATTCTTAATCCGTATTCTAATTATGTATGTATATTTGTATAAATAAAAGTTTCTGTCTGCGGCGCAGGTTTTTTTTATATTTAAGTGGTTTGCGGTAAAAGTACAGCGTTAATAATAATATACAATCCGTAGTTACCTAGATATAGATACTAAAATTGCTAGTAAAAAGTAAAAGATCTTTTTCGTAGTGCTAGTAAATAGAAAACATTATTTTGTGCTAATAAATTTATAATTTGGATCAGAAATTTAAAAGGGTTGTACCATTTTAAATTTCTGATCGAAATTACAAATTTATTACACAGCGCTCAATTATTCATTACGAGGGCGGCACTGAAAATTTCGGGAATCAAGCAAGTGACACAACATTACTATTTAAAAATGTATTTATTGCTTTTCGAAGTTTTCTCCGCGAAATTTGACACATTTTTCCATACGATGGAACCAATCATTGAAGCAACCATTCCATTCGGAAGTTAGGGTCTCCAAAATGGCCGTTTTGTAGGCGTCCACAGCTTCTTCAGGTGACGAAAATCTCTGTCCATGCATTTATTCTTTATTTTAGGGAAAGCATAGAAATCATTAGGGCAAACTCATAGTGGCAAACAAATGCTAGCATACCATTCTGCATTAACCGTTCTTTGTCCCTCAAGAGGAATAGTCGTAACATAGCCGGTTTTGGAGACAAACGTGGCTACCATTATTTTTTGCAACACTCCGTGAACGAACAATTTTTGTTGGCTTTTACTCACTTTCGAACACCCAAACTCGTGATTGGTTTTTTGTTTCGGGTTCGTACGCGTATATCCATGATTCGTCACCTGATACGATGTTGTATACAGCATTTGAGGATCTTGCGTGGAATCTTTCGAGAGTTCTGACGCACCAAGTAACGCGAGCCGCTTTTTTGCTCTTCACAGAGCGAATGCGGTATCCATCGGGAAAACAACTTTTTTACACCTAATCGTTCATGCAAGATTATTTGTATATGACTCATGCCAATGTTTAAAGTTGCCTGAATTTCGCGGTATGTCACATGTCGATCTTCCTCAATCAGCTTACGCACAGCATCAACGTTTTCTTGGGTGACTGCAGTTTTTGGACGACCTTGACGGGGATCATCACTGAACTTGACACGTCCACGTTGAAATTCAGCAAATCAGCGATAAGTTGTGGTTTTGGATGAGGCTTCATCACCAAATGCAAAAATCATCCGGTCAACACAGTTTTTTTTGTGTTAAACCACTTCGAAAATCATAATAATTCATCGCTCTTGAATTTTCTCGAGTCAATTCCATTTTCTCAACGACTAAACAAGTTTGACAAAACCTTGTGACAAGACCGAGAATCTTTTTTTAAACAAATAAATGGTATTCAATTTTTAAAACCAATGAGTTTTCAATTAAAAAGATTTTAACATGACAGGAACAGTGGAAATATTCCATTCCCGATACTTTTAATGCAGCCTATGTATTTTTAATCTGTATTTAAGCGCTTATTACCAAGCACCATTATACTTAGCACCAAACTCGTTTTTGATCTGTACTTTAAAATAATGTTCGATTAACAACTGAGATTGGAATTAAGTTTCAACGGATTCATGAATAACCAATGTTTTAGTGGTATTGGTTTGAAGTTTATTTACCAGGCAGTAGGTATCATTTTCTGCCTACAGTCCACCTGGGAGTGTACCATCCTCTTAATTATTTCTGCCGGCAAGTAGCACTGCCTGCACTCCTGTATTTCGGTCTATAGTGCTGGTATAACTACAGGATGTGGTGTTCCATCGGAGTCCTTGGAGGTGACGTAGATCCAACTATAATTCAAAATCAAAATGTAAATGCGTTTCATCCTTGAGGACTGAATCCTGAAATGCCTCATTACCAGTAAAATTTTCTCGTTGTCTACACTCACCACACGAAACAGAGCATCGTTAGCTGATATCGCAAGTATCATGTTGACGCGTGTCCTTGGCAACGCTAATAATATATCTGAAACGTTGCTCTACCTCGTTAATAATCTACTAAAGATCGCGATCAAGTCATGGCTTTTTCCTAATTCGCCACTTACGGCAACAAAATGCCGGGTGTTTTATAAGAGTGACAAATGACTACGTGTCATATCTACATTTGTCCTGGATAGAAGAATCAAAATGCAGATGCGTTGTCTCTCCTGAGGACTGAAAGGTCAAAGTTCTTTTGGTATTCATAAAAAGGTTCTCTACACTCACAGTTAACACAATAGCATTAATCTGCTATTTTACGCTAGTATTTTGTGAGAGAGCGGTCCCACCCCGGTCAATTCGCTCGCAATAGTTTTAGCACCGGTACTATAACTATAATATGGCTGTAGGGTGGCTCTACCACGTAGTTGTTGCCATATTTTACATATTAAAATATTTAAACTAATCCTGACTTACGAAATAGTTTCAACTTTGGAACTGACAAAACGATTCAGAGGAAGCTGTGAGGGTATATCAACATATTTTATTCACTCTCGGAACCGCGTTAAGGAGTTTTTTTCACAGAGGCTCGTGAACATTTCCGTAATAAACACAGGTACGCCACCATCTCTAGATTCTGATCTACACAATGATGCCAAACATATTGTTTAAGCCTTAAAAATATGTGATGACGATGTTTTTTTTTCGTGAGTTACCCCAAAATTTTACAAAACTATAACGCTTAAGCTCCAACTCTAACAAAAGCTTTTTTGAGCCTATTAGTAGACATAAGCCTTCTAAGAATGTGCTACATATTCAAAAACTACCAAAACATACGATACTGGGTGGGTTGGTAAGCATAAAGCCTTTGCTCGACTGCTTTAATAAAAATATTGCTAGACCGTCAGACAATAACACTATTCATGCAACAAACATCATCATCATCATTACAGCCCTTCACAAGTCCACTGCTGAACATAGGCCTCACCCAAGCAATGCCACAAAGCACGGTCCTGTGCCACCTGCATCCATCGACTTCCTGCATATCTTACCAGGTCGTCACTCCATCTAGTGGGGGTCGCCCTACACTACGCCTACCGGTACGAGGCTGCCACTCGAGAACCTTTCTTCCCCACCGGTTATCGGTTCTTGAAGCTATATGGCCGGCTCTTTGCCAATTCGGCTTACTGATCCGTTGGTCTATGTCGGTCACTCTGATTTTACTGCGGATATCCTCATTTCTGAGTCTATCACGCAGAGAAACTCCGAGCATAGCCCTCTCCATAGCTCGCTGAGCGACCTTGAGCGTCCTCATACGGCCATCAGTGAAAGACCACGTCTCAGATCCGTAAGCCATCACTGGCAACACGCACTGGTTGTACAATCTAGTTTTTAGAGATTGAGGTATACCTGACGAGAAGATATGTCGTAATTTTCCGAACGCTGCCCAGCCGAGTTGAATCCGTCGATTGACCTCTCGGTCGAAGTTGGACTCACCTAGTCGGACTATTTGTCCCAGGTAAACGTACTCGTCAACAACTTCGAGCGTAGTGTTCCCAACAACTACCGACATAGGTGTGACATGGACATTAAACATGATCTTTGTTTTGTCCATGTTCATCTTAAGACCCATCCGTTGGGAGGCACTTATTGAGGTCATTGAGCATAGTGCTTAAGCCCTCCAGCGATTCTGCCATAAGGACTATATCGTATATATCGTCGGCAAATCGAAGGTGAGTGATGTACTCGCCATTGATGTTAATACCGTATCCTTTCCAGTCCAGTAGCTTGAAAACGTCTTCCAACGCAGCGGTGAAGAGTTTCGGGGATATAACGTCACCCTGTCTTACACCTCTCAGCAGTTGGATAGGTTTCTGGTTAGATAGAACTCTGGTTCTGTACTCGGATAGCCATCGTAGCCCTACTGTACAAACACTTCAGCACTTCGATATACCGACAGTCAACTTGGCACCGCTGAAGGGACTGTAGCACCGCCCAAATTTCGACGGAATCAAAGGCTTTCTCATAGTCCACATACGCCAGGCAAAGTGGCAGATTGTACTCTTCGGTCTTCTGTACAATCTGCCGCAGGGTATGTATGTGGTCTATGGTACTGAAGCCCTTTCGGAAACCGGCTTGTTCGGGAGGCTGGAAGTCGTCGAGTCTGTGTGCGAGACGATTCGTAATGACTCTCGAAAACAGCACGTAGACGCGGTTAAGAAGGGAAATCGGTCTGTAGTTCTTCAAGAGAGCGTTGTCGCCCTTCTTAAAGAACAAGACCACCGCACTTCTGCTCCAAGCCTCCAGAGTAGTGCCACCATGCAGGACGGAATTGAAGAGCTTCTGAAGGACTTCAAGTACCGGTGTTCCACCCGCTTTCAGAAGCTCCGCTGTAATTCCATCCTCGCCTGGGGCCCTGCCGTTTTTAAGGTGCTGGAGAGCCATTCTAATCTCGCTCAGACTGACGTCCGGGATATCATCGGAATAGTGTCGGGTAAGACTTGCTCTTGGATCGTTACTCACACTTGCGTGTGGCTCCAACGATGATGTGTACAGCTGCCCATAGAACCTCTCAATCTCACTCAAAATCTCAGGTGTCTCGGAAACGATGCTGCCACACTCATCTTCAGCTTTGACAGTTGGCTCTTTCTGGCAGACAGATCTCTGGCAAAGACTTTGGTTCCGGTCGATTGCTTCTTTAATACGAGAAGTATTAAAGTTGCGTAAGTCTCGCCGCATGCATTTGGAGATCTGTCTGTTCAGTTGCCTGTATGCTGTCAAATCTGTTGACGATTGCAGCCTCATCTCCCGTCTAACAGCCATAAGATTAAGAGTGTGATCAGAGAGTTTTGTGTTTTTCTGCGGCGGGTCTTGCAGAACTTAGCTCCGACCGCATGGACAGTTTCCACGAGCTTGTCATTCATATCGTCCACTGCATTGCAATCTTCTAGGCACTGAAAGCGGTTGTGTAACTCGAGCTGAAAGTTTTCGGGATTTTGGATTAGAGCACGAGGGGGACGGAGCGTTGACTTCATTAGACGAGACCTCTCCAACTTAACGTTTAGGTTCAGTGTGCCTCTAACCATTCGGTGATCGCTGCCAGTTTTCACCCTTGCGATCACTGAGACATCACTGAACAGTTGGCGTCTGGTCGTCATAATGAAGTCAATCTCATTTTTTGTCGAACCGTCGGCGACTTAGAGCTAGTCAAAACAGCGCAGCTAGACTAATCAATATATGTATAATATATTGCTTGGAGGGGAAGGCCAAATTAGCCTTTAAAAAGCTTGCTTGGCGTGCTTAGCAGAGCGCGACAGTATTTCACTCGGGCACATCGCTTGCAACTTTACAATAAGCAAGTTCGATCTCACATGGAATACTGTTCTCATCTCTGGGCCGGAGTACCCTAGTGTCAGCTCCTTCCATTTGACCGCATCCAGTGGAGTGCGATTCAAATCGTCGACGACCGAGTTTTTTCTGATTCGCTCGATTCACTTGCGCTGCGTAGGGATGTTGCATCACTTTGCATTTTCTATCGCATCTACCACTGGGTGTGTTCAGAGGAATTGTTCGGATTAATCCCAGCTGCCAAATTTCATGAATGTACACCGCGTCAAAATTTAAGATACCATCCTCACCATCTGAATGCTTGGCGGTAAACTACTATGCGTTTTACTAGAAGTATTCTTCCTCGTATTACTTCTCTGTGGAATTGTGTACCAGCGGCGATTTTTCCGGACCGTTACGACTTAGGTACCTTCAAGAAAAGAGTTTACTCTTTTTAAAAGGCCAGAAATGCAACTGCCATTCCTCTGATGTTGCGATTGTTCATGGGTGATGGTAGTCACTTACCATCACGTGAGTCGCATGCTCGTTTGCTCCCTCTCTATAAAAAAAACTTCGATGAAAAATTAAATCGTCGAATTCAACTCTGCTGGGCAGTGTTCAGGAGATTACAAATAAGTAGATAATTAAAATTTTCTTTTTGCCAATACAAACGTTTAATTTGAAAATTTTTAAATAATTTATATAATTAATTTTAGACAATCTTGAAGATAATTTCTTAAGAGCATTAAGCTTTCAGCTTCAGCTTCGACTTTGACCAGAAATCAACCTTTGGTTGAACATGAGTAAACATCATAATTGATTTCTGTTAAATTACTACGGTGTAATACTTTATCGTTATACTTATTACTTTATTCTTAGAGCTTTACTTGAAAAATGTTCTAAGTAACCCTTACCATGTATCACACTCAAACGAAAACCCTATTATTATTGGAAACAAAAAAGAAAGAATTTATTTAAACAAGGTTAAAGGAGGATATTGAAAAGTCATTATATCTTATTTCTTTCCAACACAAAGATCTTAAAGCCGTTGGTCCTGTGCTTGAATCTCTTTGGTCGTGTCAGTTTGACGCCCCATCGGACTATAAGAGTGAGGGAATAAAAAAGTAGGGAGTAAAATGTGCACCCGTGCACTCACTTGTTTACTCTAATCCTGTAATAATAAGCCTGGAATATATTATGTTACCTTTATTTTTTCCCGTATTAATCCTAAACTGTAAAACAT